TCAAGACTACATGAATGAAACTGCTCTACACAGAGCTGCTAGGAAGGGAAATGAAGAGATTATTCGTGTGCTAATAGGTGAAGGTGCCGGAGTGAACAACAAAGCGTCCAGCAATTGGACAGCACTCATGCTTGCTGTGTCCTGTGAGAGTTTTGACGCCGTTCGAATCCTCGTCGAAGTAGGCGCAGAGCTGATGTCAGAGACGGAATGGGGGGACACAGCCTTGACTATGGCTTTGAGAAGTAGACAGGAGAATATCGCTGTCTTCCTTGCCGATCATGGTGCTGTTTTGCCTCGCGGCTTGGCGGGGCGTCGAGCTTTCACCATAGCTTGCCAGAGAGGATTACAACATGTAGCACAGCGCCTGACACTTGATTATGAGGCGGTTGCTGGGAGACCTTTACAGCGGCAATCCTCGCGACTTATGGGCGGCCTACCTCAGATCGTACGTGAATTACCGCAGGGAGAGTCAACTGCTTCTGGAACAGAAACCGAACCGAGTGACGAGGTTTCGCTGGGAGAGCTGATGGAGCAGTATAACATAAAGACCGGGTTTGATCAGCGTTACAAGATAACGCAGAAAATTGGGAAGGGCCATAGTGCCACAGTACACCTCTGCACTGACAGAGTGACAGGGATGGTTTTCGCAGTCAAGGTTCTCGAAGGTGTAACTCCTGGAAATCCCCTGAGAGCAAAGGATTTCAAGGGGATAGGCGGTGAAATTCAACTGCTACGCGAGCTCCAGAAGCACTATCATCCAAACTTAGTGAGGATGATAGATGCATTCGCAAATTTAGAGGGGAATGATTTTCGCCTTCTCTTAAGTGTCGCGTTAAAAGGGGAATTATTTTACACTATTACATCGAGAGGAAACCTCAGCGAAGGTGAAACACGGCATATATTCACTCAGTTATTATCTGCCATCATATTTCTGGTGAGACTTGTTCTTTGACGCTAGACTACGCTGGTCCAAGCTGATACAAAATAGCATGAACTTGGATGGGTCCACCGAGACATTAAACCCGAAAATATCGTGATATGCGACGACCACCTTTCAATCCAGTTATGTGACTTTGGTCTCGCGAAAAAGATCGGCGCGAAGTCAGCTTCTGATGGATTGACAACAACCTTGTGTGGAACTCCCACTTGTATGTATCTTAGTCCCTGGACACCCATTGAGGCGATTGCTAACCTGGCTTAGATGTGGCACCAGAAATAATTGTAGAGACACCCCACCGCCGATATGGATTCGAGGTAGACATATGGTCTTCGGGTGTAGTTTTGTACATCTGTCTCTGCGGATTTCCTCCATTTGCCGACGAGCTTAACACTCCGGAAAACCCATATAACCTGGCACAACAGATAAAGATGGGTAGATTTGATTATCCATCACCTTACTGGGATCCCATAGGAGATCCTGCATTGGATCTCATTGATCGAATGATCACAGTATATGTGCCTGACCGCATCTCAGCTCGAGATTGCCTCACTCACCCATGGATGTGTCAAACCCCCAATTGATGCAGAGAGATTATTTGTTGCTAATAGCTTCTTTGAACTGTCAAATAGTGCAGAAAATCACCCTTGCGAAGCCAGTCCGCTACGATCACCTTTCGCATTTACTGAGTTAGAGAGAAAACATACAAAGACTAGTAGAATATATATACTACATTTTAAAAGATCTTATGTTATCGTTTGTTACACAAGCGGTCTGGAGTATTCATCGGCTAGATAATAAAAATGGGATTTGACAGAATGACAGAGATACATAAGCTCAAATAGACGCGGGAGCTATATAAATCAGCGCCACAGAAACAACTTAGCCCCTAAACATCAAAACCTGGTATTTTGCCATCACTATAGAGTGCCAATTGCATGATGATATTAACATCACTCAATATTCCATATTCACTCTTGCAGATCAAATTTCATTCAATAATGACCTCACATATTACTGGCTGCCTGATTCTTCCTCATCTTCACGCTAAATTCTCACCTCCAATCCTTCTATATATACCCACGTGATTCAACCTCATCACTGCTGCCTGAACAGCATACATAAAAAACCCAGAAAGCGATCATCGTTCACTTTCCAGCTTCATTGCCTTAATCCGTAATAACCATCATGGATTTCCAACCCAAACTCATCATCCTCCTGCTCGCCGCCCTAGTATTTGCCAGCGAATTCTTCCGACGCTATCTCAAGCGCCGCCAGTTCGCCCGCCAGCATGGCTGCAAACCAGTCGCACGATCCTTCAGCAAAGACCCCTTCCTAGGCCTCGACACCATCCTGGGCACAATGCGCACAAGGAAAGAGCACTGTATCCTCGAGCGAGGCTGCAATCTATTCCGCACACTCGGCAACACATTCACCGTCAAAGAACTAGGCCGTAGTGCCATCGTCACCATTGAGCCCGAAAACATCAAGACAGTCCTGTCCCTCAACTTCAACGACTATAGTCTCAAGCACCGCTACGAGGCAATGAAGCCTCTTCTCGGCGAAGGCATTTTCAATACGGATGGTCATCATTGGGCCACCTCTCGCGCGCTTATCAGGCCGAGCTTCGCCCGTGAGCAAGTGACTGATCTGCGCTTGCTGGAGGATTTGATCCAGGACCTATTCGCGTTGCTTCCGAGGGATGGGAGCACGGTTGACCTACAGGAACTATTCTTCCGGTATACGATTGACTCCGCGACAGAGTTCCTGTTCGGACAGTCGGTGGGGGCGCTGAAAGAGGGTCACTCGGAGACTGGGTTCGCGGAGGCGTTTCATTATGCTCAGATGGCGATCCCGATGCGGGGAATGCTGGGTCCGCTTGGTGTCATCTTTCGTGATCGGAAGGCTGAGGAGTGTAATCGAATCTGTCGGGACTTTGTGCAAAGGTTCGTTGATGAGGCTGTCTATGCGGCTGCGACGAGGAAAGAAGATGGATCGTCGGAGACGAAGCGGAAGTACATTTTCTCGCATGAGCTGGCGTCGCGGACTTCTGATAAGCAGCGCATTTTGGACGAGTTGATGAATGTGCTTCTAGCGGGGCGAGACACGACGGCCAGTCTTCTTGGGAATATGTTCTTCGTGCTGGCGAAGAACCCAGCTATTTGGGCGAAACTGCGCGCTGAAGTTGAAACGCTGCAGAACCGGCCACCGACGTATGAGGAGCTGCGCGGTCTGAAGTATGTTCAGTGCTGTGTAAATGAATGTATGGATCCCCATCATCCCTCTCCTTTGTATGATCTCACTGACCTGAACTAATAGCTCTGCGCCTCCACCCCGTCGTCCCCCGCAACGAACGCGAAGCAGAGAAAGACACAGTCCTTCCTGTGGGCGGAGGTAAAGACGGTCTTTCCCCTGTCTTCGTCTCCAAAGGAACGATCGTCAGCTACAACGTCTACGCCATGCATCGTCGGCCGGATATCTACGGTCCAGATGCGGAGGTATTTCGCCCTGAACGCTGGGAGGATGGGAAACTGCAGCCGCGCTGGGGCTATTTGCCGTTCAATGGCGGACCACGGATCTGTATTGGTCAGCGCTATGCCTTGACGGAGGTCAGCTATGTTCTTGTGCGGATGGTGCAGGAGTTCCGCGGCCTGGAGAGTCGGGACCCTGGACCCTGGGTGGAAGGATTGGGGTTGACGCTTTGTTCGAGGAATGGGGCGAGGGTTGGGCTGATTCCATGACATACACATTAATCTGACTGGATAGTAATAAGATGAGATATGCAGTAAGACGACGCATGCAGAGTCCGCGTCTGAAGAGGAATAGATCTGACCCGATAGTCATGGTGTTTATCGCCGTCTTACTTCAAACCTCTCGCTGATGTGCATGTACTTTAGCGAAGCATTATTCTAGCTTCAGTGATAGTAATAGAAACTGATACGACTGCAACGATAAAAGTTAGCGCTTATGTCGGACATTAGCGTATTTCTCCCCACTCCTCGTTGTGGTAGACTAATTACACTAAATTCTGACACCTCGCAGAATATGAGGGGTTAGATAGACAACTGGCAGGCCATACGATCAACGAGGGAGAGGCGTGGAGATTAGGTCCTAACATGTTCCGTGCAATATGCCCCTAACTGTAAAGGCCTCCCATCGACAGCAGAGAGAAATGCTTACTTCAACAACGCTACTTGAAACTAATGCATGTGTCGCTAAAACCGGGTAGATCGGAAGAGGGGAGAAAGATGTAACCATGTAAGCCTCTCCTCGTTTATCCTAGACTGGGTACTAACTAGCTAGTCTTACTAGCTAGTGGCTCATTGGCCAGTTAGGATGTGTCCTGCAGCATGGTATATTGACCTAATTTAGCGCTTGACGGCCACTTCCCCTCTATTGTGAATCTACCAGTCAATGGTAAGTTGATGTAACATACTCAGTACATACTAATTGATGACTGCATTGACTTGATCACAGGATAATGGAGACATTGAGATGTCTGTAATATTTTGGTATACTAGGCTGGCTGGCTGGATATAATCTCGCCCCGTCGGCCCTTTCCGCCCACAGCCTCCCCCGCCTGCCCTAAATCTGTCAGGCCCACTTAGATTGGACGCTCGGGGACATCCTTAGTTCATCCTTGGCGATGGACAGATAACCGAACAGAAGGGAAAGGTACGGAGCACTCGGAGTACGGAGTAGTCGGAGCTAAGCTACGTTTCTATTCCTCCAAGAGTTTATCCGCGGAGTCTAGTTGCTTGAGGGTTGTCTGTCCCCGTTGAGGGCCAACGAGCCTCAGCCTTGTCCTCCTGTTCCTTCCCACACCCCTCCCTTTCTCGACTGGCCAGCACACCAAGCCAGGGGTACCCACCCCTCTTCCCTCTCTTATGTGTCTTGTGCTTGTTGTCCTCCACTATCCTCCTCTTCTTCCTTTCACCGGCCCACTGCCCCTCATTTGGGGCACATGCCTTCCTTCAAGTTATGCCCGTAGGAAGCGGGAGGATGGATAAGCAAGAGGACAACAACAATAAAGCAATTTATCTGCCAATGTGATTGAACACATCCCAATATTAAAGCCACATATATTGGATTAAGTAACCTTGGCGAATTCTCTTACATTCTGAAACAACATTGCAAGCAGCTCAATACACACCCGTTTTTTCACAAATATATCTATCTACTCCCACTGCTTCACCAACTCCAAAATAGTCTTCGTCAACTCCTCCGGAGCAGACAATTGCGCACTGTGACCCGTAGCCAATTCCCTGGTAATCCACTTAGCACCCGTAGCCTGAACCATAGCCGTCTGGGCCGGGTAAGGCACCGCGCGATCCTCAGTGGTGTGGATGTAAGCGATTCTATCCTTGAAGGCCTCAGAGCCCCAGCTCGCCTCAGGACAGGGACTCGAGAAAGAAGTCAAGCCCTGACTGAGGGAAGTCTGGCAAGCCGCGTCGGCAAGGGTGGGTTCAACGTCGTAGAAGAGAGGGGGCTTGGGCTCGTCGCATTTGAGGAGGTTTTGCTCTTTCTAATTCATTCATTGTTTCTCGTTAATACTGGAAATGGTAAGTGGGAAGGAAGGAAGGAGCACATACATCCATATACATATGCGGGGGCAAATTTCCACCAAAAGAATCAATAACACTCAACCCATCACCACCACGAGGCAGAATGGTCGCGATGAAGATCTGGCCAAGCACAGAAGTGGACTTGCCCTGGGCGGCACGGTCGGCGGGTCCGAGTCCGCGCGCCGCCGCGCTAGCAGGCATTCCACTATACGAGTGGCTGATCAGGATCACATCTTGGTTGCCGACGTCCAGGAGAGGGAGGATCAGTCGGTTGCGCACGTAGTCGGTGTCGTCGGCCGCCGTGACCTGTCCTTGGGCGCCAATGCTGGGGAGGAGGCCAGTGAAGGCTCCGTAGCCGGCGGATTGGAGGAGGTGTAGGAGGTGGGCGTAATGGGCTGGGTTTTGGGAGGCGCCGGGTACGACGACGAGGGCGGGCTTCTTTTTGTCGGTGGGGATGGTCATGATGTTGAGTGAAGTAATTATATGAGGGATTGGAAAGGGGGTTATTGAGGTGAGTAAGTAGTAGTAGGGGAGATTAGTTCGGGTGCTGGGAAGAGGGGGGTATGGGAGAAGTATTTATGCCTGTAAAGCGAGGGGAGCCCTACTTGTCTTCCGAAGGCCGGCGCTTACAGTCAGTCTACTTTAGTGTTGTAAGATGTTCTTTGTTCATCGGCTCAGTGGGTGGAATGAAAACACGTTTGTTGAATGGAGTCAGCCAGGGTGAGTCTGTCTATTGCTAGAACGGGAATGGGTAGCTCGAAGCCAGTCGAGTAGTCTGACGCGAATGACCCACTGTCCGCAACTACCCCTGTATGTTCCCTCAAATGACTACGAAGAAGGGATAGCTGGCACAGTCACTCCTCTTCTCGATTGAGACTGCTGCTTTTTCAGTGGGGGTTTATTGCTACTAAGCCCATCTTCGAATGAGATCGACGATTGTTGCTCCAGTAATACTGAGCACCTTGGGCTGAGTCGACGTGACTACAATTCAATCCACAAGATCTGATAACATACACTAACACTACATATTTTAAGGATGATGATAATGACTGACACGACTATTCCAACCCGGTAGTACTCTTCACACCTCCAATAGTTCCACCTCGCTTGAGGTACTTGGTGTCAATTTCTTCTCGTGCCCACGCTGATGAGAGTTTGCCGACTGCATATGTGAATGGGGGAGGTTGCGCGAGTCGTGGAACTTGGTTGATCCCTCCTTCTTGCTGCTAAGAAGCCGAATCCATTGCTTAGGCCCTCGCCAGTTACGGAGCAGAGGTCCCAGGGTAAGCATGGAGCCCACGACGATGAAGATGGGTGGCTCAAGGAGCGCCCACAGAATGTTATAAATGAAGGGTACTAGAAAAGAATCAGACATCTGTCAGATATTGCGGACGACAAGAACTGAGAATTTGATGGAACCCGGGGAAATATACCCTCAAACATGCTACTGATAGTCGCAGGCTCCTTGGTCCACTGGACGGCATAATACAATCGAACAAGTGATGCCGCCATGCAGCTATTTCACCCCGACAATCAGCAATCTGACAAGAGAACTGACAGGGGAGGTCATGAATACTTACGTGCTTCCCAAGACAAAGATCACAGACATGAATAGCTTCTTTGATTGATCCATCTGCAATTTCTGTACGGCAGCGATTGGAAGTGCCAGCGTCAGAAGATCGAATAAGCTATTGCCTGCAACATAGCAGATAAGGATCGCCGACGCGTTAATATCGTAGGGGGCGGTCGGGTCCCATTGTAGGTAGACCGGCCATTTTGAAAAGATAACCGCCAGGACAATCGCCAACGTGAAGCTGGAAATCAGTCCAATGAGCACATTGCTCGCCATGACAAACGGACGGGAGATGCCGAAGATCCGCCGGTAGAAGAAGAGCAAAGAAACTTTGATGACTCCCATTGTGGCGATTTGAGCATTTTCGCAAGCGAAGTTTATCTTCAATGCGAAGATGATCGCCTCCATGGTTGGCTGATACTCAGGGTCTCCGATGCCGGTAACAGCATCGGTGTAGTCGATGATAATGCTAATCCCACAGGAAAGGATCTAGTGGCGAACATTGAATGTTAACATCATGAGTGATGGGGTGGGATGGTGATATGACTTACTAGGGCGAGGATAATTGTCCAGTCATCGGCACCCAAGTAGAGCTTGGAATATATCCGGGCGTAGACACGGAGTGCAACCGCCAGAATGGCCAGGACACCTAAAATTGTGGTCACAATAATGATCGCCTTGGCCGTACTGGTAATACCATGACCTTCATAATACAACATCTTGCCGGATCAGTTTGCAGACAAGCGGTATGGAGAAAGAGGGGATTAAGCATTGATGATGGCAGAGGCGCGACAGCCAAAAGCCATTCCCTTATAATAGCCCGGAAGGGGAAAATGCATGTCTCTCGGCTGAGGCGTGAGGGCGCAGGAGACAGCCAGGCTGAATAAATGCATAGTTAGCCCATTATCTGTCTTCTACCGTCCGTCTGACTGTAGCGACTGTATAGCCCCCATGCGCCAGGATCAGAGGCACACCACGTCTGCAACATGGCTGTCGACATCATCAGGTAAATCATACTAATGGTGGGGGCCGAAGGATTCGTCTGCAAATACGTGACAATGGCCTGTGTGAAAGGCTGCAGAAACCACAATAGCCTTGTCAGGCTGGTCAGGAGGGGTTGGATGGAGGAGGGAGGACTATGTTGCAGGGTTACAACTCCTTCGAGGCAGCGAAGCTAGTAGTGTATTACACAGCCCATTCAGCTTAGGGTACTTGAAGAGAAACACGAAGGATCATGGTGTCTCTGAGTCTCCAATAGAAATTGCCAAGAAAGCTACTAATTGGAGCATTTTCTCGAACAGCATTTGTCAGGCGGCCCGAGGGAAGTCCACTCTTCTTAGTTTCTTATTACTCCGGGGAAAGGATGATGGGTCTAGTGCAGCGGCGATTTCATCTTATTCGGTAGTCTGACTACGCACTATGACACCGTGTCAGATTAAGTAGTGGGAATTCTTCAAATCGATCTGTTTATAGACCCTGAACTAAAAGTACTATCGACCGATTCAGTTTCCCCCGCACACTAGCCAAGTTCCACAGCAACCCCTCTTTATGGCGCAAACCAGTGGCTTTAGCTTGCGTGTCTGCAGCCCAGATGGCGAAGCCTGCTTACTACCTCGCTTAAGCACTGATTTCATGTCAGTACACCTATTGACCGTGCCAAGAAGGGGATAGAGGGACTTACGTATCCTCGTACGTAATGAACCGACTGTTCAGCACAGCAGAGGGATCACGCTCTTCCACTTCATCTCTTTTGCTGATGGCGTCTTCGTAGGTGATGAACCGGGTGTTCAGCACAGCGGAAGCGTCACGTTCCTCGACGTCATCTCTCTTGTTGATGGCGTCCTCATAGGTTATGAACCGTGAGTTAAGCACCGCCGTGGGATCACGTTCCTCAACCTCATCTCTCTTATTGATGCCATCCTCATAAGTAATGAACCGCGTGTTCAGCACGGCAGAGGCATCACGCTCCTCAACTTCGGATGGAGCTGCGACAGGGGCCGCCCTGGCAGAGCTAGCCAGGGTGAGAAGCACCGCGAGTGCGCTCAACGCAGTACGCATATTGCAACAAAGTGGGAAGTCAAAGACTAAAAGGGTTGCTGATTTGGAGTTTTAAGAGCTTGGGGAAAAGAGGAAGAGATGGGTAGAGAAGTTGATTGTATCCTCCAGCACATAGGGACACTACGAACCTGTACCTCGAACCTTATATGTTTTTCGTACTCTCTGCGATATTCTAGGGTTCTTGGTGTACGCCTGCTTACCAAGGCAGTTCCATACTAACCTTGTCGGATCTGGAGTCCTTTGTGTTGGCGCCGGGCCAAGGGAATCGTGAGCGGCCGCATCGAATGCATCCATCCTCACATCAGCCCATCGTAGACGTGTTCGCATTCACTCCAAAGCGGGGTTAGCGTAGTATCTACTTAAAATCTCACTGTTCTAGGGTCTCGCAAATGAAGATGTATAGGGCCTTTGACTTTGTTGCTGATGCGGCAGGAGCGGTTGGTCAAAGGCCAATGATCACACCAAACGTCGAGTAGTCATTTCAGTCATGCATGAATAACTCTCGCCAAGTACTTCCGGACACTCTGTCGTTGCGACGCACGGGAAACCGGCACCATTTGGCCCCCAATGGTGATGCCCAGGTCAATGATGAGGTGCATTGATGTGAGTGTGGAAGGGTAGGGCGGATGAAGGTCAAGCTCGCTCCGAGGAGAATCACAGTCTTGGCTAGTTTGTGGATGCCCCCCCTCCACCTCGCTGTTACTTCTGCATTGCCTTCTCTCCAAGGCAATCTCCCACAATTTCGTTTGTAATCTACGGAACATTTTGTGCCGAGTTATCCCCTCCGGTGCTCTGCCTTCTCCCTCCATCAACATTCTCTGCATTTTGCATCTTCCTACTCCTTCCTACCTCCACCCCACACAGCCATTCATCAATCCTTGATATCGTCATGGCCGGAGCCAGGCTGGATGATAGGCAGAGCGAAGAACGCCTCATATCAAGTTTCGATGAGGAAAACTTCCTCAAAGACAGTCGAAGTCCTGGGGCGAGAAGGTCACGATGGTGCCGGTATCACCCAAATGGGACTCTGATTCTATCTTTGTGGACTTTATTCCTGTTTATAGCTTCTATCTATCTTTGGTCAACAATAGCTCGTCATCGAAAAACAGCTGCCGCTTGTCAATGCGATGACTACCTGCCCATCGATTCTCCAGCCTTAGAGGCCCTCGAGAACACAGGTCATATTGAAAAGTTCGACGGCAGCTTTGCAAAGCCCAATGCTTTCAAGGGTCCACCAAGTCCTGCTATTGATGCCGCCTGGGATGATATAACTTATGCTTCAGGTGATTTATCCCGAATGGACCCAGATAGAATGAACACGAGGCTTACAGTCTGTCCAAAATAGGCGGTGTCATCAACGTTGATGAGCAAACACTTCAGCACATCAATGCGTCCGAGTACTCTGTTGGTTTGGCTGACGAGCTCGGTGGCGGCTACATGGGCTCAGTGGAAGTTCTGCATCAGCTACATTGTCTGAATATGCTCCGCCAAGCGAGTTACGAGGATTATTACAGGGACAAGCCGGGTCCGTGGGAGGATAGCCCGCAGATCCTACGGCACCATCTTGGTAAGTCAGGACTTGGAAGAAGTCCAAGCACATGAATAATTGAACAAATTCTGACAAATACCTAAAAATAGATCATTGCATTGATATCTTACGACAAAAGGTAAGCCAGAAGGGTGTCCTGTGTAGCATAGCCATCATTATCACTCGAAGGCAGAAATGGCTAATTTTTGTTACTTGTCAAATAGTTGATGTGTGATGCAGACGTTGGTATCCTGACATATGTGTGGGTGAAGGGGCATAAGGACCCATTTCCAGACTTCAATGTGTAAGAAACGTCTTCCCTTCCCGCCCCTCTTTTGGCCCACCAACCCTCCAACACATACAGCGTTCCCGAAAGAGTGGAAATATGCAGGTACAAGGCTAACATTCAGTGGCATTTGCAGGCACCATAAATGTCGCGATTTCCGCGCAGTGAAGCAATGGGTCGGGCAGCATCAGCTCTATACAACACCCGAACATGGCATTGAGCGCCTTCCTGGAGCAAAGGAGATGCCTAGTCCACCGTAGATACTTGAAAGTTACACAGACTACTATCTGCTACAAATCGTAACCCAGAGTTTGAGGACTACAAACCGCCCGCCCAGCAAGCAGTAAGGGGCACAAGTCACGGCGCGTATTATTTCGAATTCAAGTTTTGTCAATATACCTCCCACAAACTCAATAACCAATACATCCAACAAGCGAGCATGTTCTAGAGGATATTCAGGTGCGAAAGGCATTTCACAAATTCAGATAAATCTCCAACACAGCCAGGTTATTTCTTTTGCGCCACAAGATGAGGAAAGATCCCACCCATTCTGACACGTTTAGCCTCGATAGTCTCACTAACAGAAGTCTTCAATTTACGCAGTTCATCCAGTTCCGTCTCCCCAGTATTACCGTTCTCAACTGCAGTTCCATTCTGAGACTGTTGCTGTTCCATTCTCATGAGCGCAGAGTGCAGGAAAAGGTTGACAGAATCTGTGAGATGGTCTGAAAAGTCGAGGGACACCTCTGGATCCCCATCCTCCTGACAGAACCCTCCGGGACGTAGATTGAAATGAAGAATATTTAGAGCATCTTCTCCATTGGAACTTTTGAGTGAGAGAATTCTTTGGAGCATAAAATGCGGCAGGCTGAAGAAAAACGAAGAAGGACACAGATCAGCCGATGTGATCAAGTGACAACAGAAATAAGAAAGACAGTGGTTGGGTAAATACTCACTAAGGTACTAGATCACGAGCCCGTCTCTCCAGATCAATGATCTCCAGTGCTTTGAGCATGTTGGGTGCTTCTGGGAACAGTTTGAAAAGTCGGGCTTCGCTTTCTGTCCACTGGAGATAGCCTCCTGGCTCTGTACAACAGACAAATAAGATTTAAATCAGGCGAAGTATACCAAGCTGGTAACTGGGCAGGGAGTAACAACTTACTCAGGAGTAGCAATGCATTTTCCAGCGCTCGAGACAGCTTCTCCTCCGTGATGGCGTAAGCAAGGCCGCGGATATTGACTAGGTTGAATTGCCCATGATAGCGGGGGTCAAAAGGTTTAGTGCAGTCGTGCTGCACAAGCTGTATTCCCGGAGTGGGGGTCTCGGGGAATGCGGCTGCGTTCAAGTCAAAGCCAACAAGAGACGGGAGGGGAGTTGTGGTTGGGGATGTAAAGGCCCCAGTTCCGTTTTCAAGGCCTGGAGAAGATAGGGACTGAGCTACTTCCCGCAGCCAGATACCAGTTCCGCAGCCGATATCTGCAACCCCGCCCTTTAGTGCTGACAAAGGGATGGAAGGGTGTATGAGCTGATTGTTGAGAAAGGTCTGCTGGATGAGATTGTGCTGTCGGTTCAGTCGCTCGTGTTCCTCTGTTTGCTTGGAACGGTGGGAGAGGACGTATGTCTGGTCTTCGCACTCCCCAGAGGTAAACATAGTGAGGAGGGAAGCACAAAGTAATTCAAGGCTGGTAGGATTCTGCTGCTGAAGGCAGAAGGGGTTGAAGAGATGCAAAGGCAAGGTGGGACAGCGAGGATTGCTCCCTGCTTTATATTGGTAGCTGTACGCCGTCACACACTAGCCACTTGTCTAGTACCGCATAATTATGTTCCCAAGTTAGGATAGCATCTGCTCTAGTCGGACCAATGGTATGTCTCTTCTGACATGCATTGCACAAGGACATATGCATTCGTGTGTACCAAGTATTGGCACACCCATACAATGGAGTCTTACTCCTTGTTAAGCCCCAGTCTGTGCAGATGAAGGAGATTTTTTCCTAGTTATTACCCAAGCAAGGTGTCGAGGAGCACTAGTCAGTGCAGGGTGTTTCTCGACTGTGCTGTGTCCATAGAGTGGCATCATACAATCGTCTAGCCAAGTCAATTACGGCGAAGGCGCACATTGGTCATATAATGTATGTCGGAACGACGTTGTAGGTCAATAATGAAGTTGTAGTAAACACTTAATCCTTCTTATCTAGATAGCTTAGAAGAACGGTCAAAATTCAAATTTTTAAAATCATATAACTATAATTAGATAATGATATAAAGATTATACCTTGATACAGTTCCCTAGACATGGAAGCATTCATAATAAAATTAAAAATTTTTTCTAATAAATATTGCAGTTACATTAGACTAGGATCTGCGGATATATTGAAAAAGGAAAGATTATTGTAGAAAAATTGTTTAGAGATTCAGAATATCTTGCTATCAAATAGTTTAATAAAAATAATTCATTGGATTAATTAGCTCTGGTATATATTAAGTTATAATAATCATCCTATTAAAAAGAATAATAATTACATATAATATTTTCTTGGCCTGTCGGGCACGCCCGCGGCGGAGGGCAATGCCGCAGGCGCTTCGACTTTAGCCAATGAAGGCTACGCGTCTGGTCCCTGGCACAGCCGACCGTGGTTGCAGGGGAGCTGAGGGCCTTCCGGTCGGTTTCACCGCAGAGACGTTCGAGTCCTGCACGAGGGTCTTTGGTACTGGTCATGCCCATCACCGCTGATATATGGCCGTCGGATCACGGGAAGCATGCGGAACGCAGGAACCAGATAGGTACACAGAGTCGTGATGACTGAAACCGACCAACCAGCCTCGGCGGACTCGGTAAACTGAGTATGAAATTGAGGAAGGAAGTGGGAAACGCGCTGATCGACCAACCGAGCCTGCTGGGAGGCTCAAACTGAAGGTGAGAAAAGTGTACCAGACATCGTGCCGGGGGCGAAGATGGTTCAGGCCGTACGCCCATCAGAGCAGCCTAACAACGGGAGCGGCATTGGGCCATGAGAGGCCGTGACGAGGTTCTAAATTCCTGTCAGGAAGTGGGTCATCTCAGGCGTACATACTTAGATATATGTTGTATACTGCATATCGCTTCGGCGAGGGGTCAGTGTAAATGAATCCTACTACTGCCACCACTACTACTGGTGTAAGCACATGACCTGCAAGTCGCAATCAAGGTTGAGGCTTAGACTGCATCCTACCCCCATTGCATCTGGGTTCCTCTCCCTGTCAATGTACTTCCATATATCCGAGTACAAGCGCAGATAACTTACATCACGAGTGATACGGCTGGTAATTTATCTGAACGTCGCCTATTCCGTCACTGTCCGCACCATGCTGGTGCCTCGCCGTCCTTTATTTGCTACACCCCTCATCATCTCTGGGCGCCCTGATCCATCCCAATCAATCAATCACTCGATTCTTCATTCATTCATTAACATCTTCGTTTCAATCGTACTAAATTATCCCTTCTTCCCCTGGTTCATTCCACTGTCGCTGTCGCGTTCTCTAGCTCTCTGCGGTCTCTGCGGTTTTCAATCGCCTTTTTATTTCTTCCTTTTCTTTCGTACTTCTGTTTTTCAGATGTATTTGACTTGGCGGGGTTAGAAATACCGACAAACGGAGAAAAACGGAGAAAGTGGAGAGGAAAACAGTAAAAAGAAAGGAAATAACTAGTGGCTCCACGTCATCTTCATCAGCGTATCCATTTATCTCTAATATTACTTTAATTGTCTCTTCTGTCGTGTCTTCCCACGCCCACCCCTTCCTTCTCATGCGTGCACCCACAAACTCCTTTCTTTACGATTCCGTTATTGCCTGTTCCTTTCTTTTCTTTGACTCCCTCCTGTCCTCATCTACCACACTTTTTCGTCCCTTTTTGTCCCTTTTTCGTTCCCCTTTCCCTTCCACGATTATTCGTCTACACCATGAGTACCCTCCAAAATCTTAAAAAGTTCATACGTCATGGCAAACAAGCCCGCCTGGTGACCCCCCATGCGGAACCCACCACCAACGTCTCCGCCATTCACGCTGAACAACAGAATCAACCACCTCAAGGCTCATACCCTCCCGAGGCGGGCCATCTGGATGTCATTAACACCAAGATGGACAATGTGCCAGCTCAACCTTCGACTAAATCGCCCGAGGGTCAGACCCGGCGGGCCTGCGAGCTCGAGATCGAACAGATCGGCGCCGAGGAAATAAGCATCTCGTCGATGATGCCCAGATATCCCGGCCTGGAACGCTGGGTCTTGCTGGACAAGATGGGCGATGGCGCTTTCTGCAGCGTTTACCGGGCCAAGGACACCACCAGGGAGTATGACGAGGTAGCCATTAAGGTCGTTCGCAAATTAGAAATGAACAGTAATCAGGTAGGTCGGCTATCTTCACTGAGTTTATCTTCTCCTTAGTTGTTATTCGTTCCCGTTCGTGTCTACTCTAAACCATTCTGCTACTAACCGCTCGTCATTATTTGAACCACCTCACTTGGTCAAAGATTTCCTATCCTATACCAATATTCTAATTCTGCCTGTCCTTGCCCATCGTTACTTACCCTGATACTGCAGTGTTATCCCTCATACGCCACCGACCTAGTGTCCAATAACTGACCATGTTCACAGCGCGCCAATATTCTCAAAGAGGTCCAGATCATGCGACAAGTAGACCATCCAAATATCGTCAAGCTGATAGATTTCTCTGAATCCCGCCAATACTACTACATCGTGCTGGAACTCTGCCCTGGTGGCGAGCTATTCCATCAAATTATCCGATTAACCTACTTCAGTGAAGACCTCAGTCGTCATGTCATTCTTCAGGTCGCTAAAGCGATCGAGTATCTCCATGAAACCGCTGGTGTTATCCATCAGTAAGATCCTTCGCCCTCTGTTTCACCATCATGTGTGCACTGACCCCTCGGCAGAGACATTAAACCAGAGAATTTACTCTTCTATCCAATTCCTTTTATTCCAAGTGAAAATCCCAAGCCACGTCAGGGAGACGAAGACAAGGTTGACGAAGGCGAATTTATCCCCGGAAAAGGTGCTGGTGGCATTGGTGTGATTAAAATTACTGATTTTAGTCAATCCAAAGTTATCAGGGATAGTCAGACTATGATACCATACAGAATAGTCAGTTATACAGCACCTGAGATTGTCAAGGACGAGTATTACTTAAAGAAAGTTGATATATGGGCGCTTGGCTGTATTCTTTATACTCTTCTCTGCGGCTTTCCCCCCTTCTATGATGAGAGTATCCAGGTATTAACTGAGAAAGTGGCTCGCGGGCAATACACCTTCATATCACCATGGTGGGATAATATCTCTAAGTCCGCTCAGGACTTGATCTCTCACCTCTTGACAATCGACCCCGACCAGCGATATTCAATAAAAGAGTTCCTGGCACACCCCTGGATCCGCAAGACCGATGAAGCGACTGAGGCGGCCACGGACACTCCCCCACTTGCGACACCATTGTCCTCCCGCCACGCGCAGAAGCAGCCTCTAGATGCCTCCGCGGCCGACCAGCCCCCCTACACCCCCGCCAGCGCTCGTCTATCCGATCAGCCCTCAGCGGGTCTGGACCGTCCGATGGACTTCCGCTCCCCCGGAGCAATTAACCTCCGCGAGGTCTTCGACGTGGGCTACGCCGTCCATCGTCAGGAAGAAGAAAACAAGTGGCGCAAGAATCACCGGAATTACCCTGGAACGAACCACACCGGTCGATTCCAATCGCTCCTCAATCCGCTCAACGAAGATTACGATGACGGGTACGAGGGCGAGATTACGTACCAACCGATTGACCATGACGAGTATCCTCCGTCCAAGCTCCAGAAACAGTCGAAGGAGGTTGCGGCGATGGAAGTAAAATTGCGGTCCTTGAATCTGGGCGCTTCCAGCCATGCAGCTCAGGCACGGAGAGCACACCAGCCCCAGCAGCAGCAAGGCCACGGCCAACACAGTGCCAAAGTCGCTGCGGCAGCGAAACAGAGTATCGGCAGGCGGTCGAGGCAGCCTTTCGAACTCAATTTGGACAACGCGGCGTTGCTCCAAAAGAGACGACTCCACACTGAGTGTAATGACATGGGCCCCCAGGAAGACAAATCGCAAGGTGTCCACTCTGCTGTCTCCCGAATACCACAAGATTACTGGGACGACTTTGCGAATGAAGTAATACACGCCGTTTGGCCTTATAAGCTGGACAGTGATGTGGTTGAGCACATTTATAAAGTACTTCCACACCTCATGGAAACGTTTGCCCTTTCTTTAAGTAAGGTCCCGTCCATCCATGCCTACACGGATGTGATAGATTTTATCCACGGGCACCGATGGTAAAATAGACTAGACCGCATGCTAGGTAGGACACCCTCGCTAATACTTGGTTAGGGATATAGCTTCCACATTTCGGGAGCGCTGGACCACTTACTCGGAGGAGCAAGCTTACCGTGACCTGGCAGCAATGACTCTGGATGATATCATGATTTTCTGGGATGAAAGAGATGTCAATCTGGAGCCTGATTCAGCACCACTTGAAGCGGTAAGCATCGATCAAAGAGAGCAGGATGTTATGCAATCTGTGGAGGACCACGAAGCTGGAGCGGATCAGATGCCTGGGCCCGAGTTGTATAGGGCAATTATCAGAAGGACACCTGCATACACTTCACTATTGAACAATATTCGTCGAGAGTGCCTTTTCGGTCCCTCTGAGCCAGACATAATGGGAGAAATTCGAAAAACGATACTGGTATCGCTACCAGGGTCACCACACACCAGCAGACAAAAGACGGCAAAGATTTTCGATGTCAGCTTCAAGATCCGGTGGGATCCTCTCAAGTTCTTGTTAGACGAACAATATGAAGACAGTCCACAGGAGGCGATCGGAAATGTCATAACGTTGACCGGCTCTGCCATGTCGGCGCAGGCAATGACTTGCGCAGAGTACTTACGTCAAGCTTGGCCGTCAACAGGATCTAGTGTGATGAAACTGATGAAAGCCCTTGTGTCTAAAGAGAAGAAGGCCTCCGGTAAGTGCGGTGCAATAGAATCTTGCTCTGGGACTCATATATCAGCCAGATATCTTACCTGATGGCACTAAACTCGCCTTTTCAAGCCGTCCATCCATAAGCCAGCCATCAACTTTTGATATCTGGGTCGATGCGCGAGGCACCGCCCCCATTCTTGCAGAGATTGGCGAGCAGATTGCATGGCTTGCATCCGCGCTACGGTCGTCTCCATTCAGTCCAGGCACCGTCGCCTACAACAAGCCCTTCGTCCGTTTCGTGAGGGTTGACCACCAGAGGGGTAAGGAGTGCATGACGGCCAGATATCTATTTGATATTGGCGTTGAAGTGTGTGCTGAACCAGACCGCCCGGAGGTTGGGATTGGTGATTGCTGGCATAAATTGTTCGGCACACCAGTTGTCGTAGAAGGGTTCCCGATACGACGGAGGTTGGAAGAGCATCCTAAAGGCCTTGAAATTTCCCTGGGAATGATGGCAGCACTCACAGGAACGCGCAAGATCACGATCTTTGATGGGAGACTTGTTCTGAAGGGCTTTTCGATTATGCTGGTCCCTGCCAAATGCGGCCAAAATGCAGTCACTTGGCATCTTCTGTACCAGAAGGATGGGGAGCATATATCTTATCTTGAGAGTGAGCAGCTACCCCTTCTCGAGCTCAAAATTCAACAACTGGAGAAAGCGCGACATTTCTTGGGGTGGTGTCCGGCTGCGCGGATATATGCGGGTAGGTCGACAACGTTATCATCTATGATACGGCTGCCCATGCTGACTGGCAATCTTAGGCGAAGCTGATGCTAGCTATCACATCAAGAACTCGAGGCTTCCTCGTCCCTCAGGAGACTGTATTATGAGTAATGCATCGCTCTCTGCCTCATATGGAATCACTGCGAGTTCAGTTTTTGTGATTGGTCGTAAGGACGCCCGGCTCCCGCGCAACTCATACGTTAAGAAGATAAGATGGATTTCGGAGAAATATACAATTCTCTGGGAGATCACAGAGAAGCGGGGTTGGCTTGTTAATGGAGCTACTGTCCTGCTTCACCTTGTTCACGCATCTCTAAGGCAAGACGACCTCGGCGACACAAGCCTATTGTGTCTATCTAATGACGGGACTTCGAAAACATCTCTTTCGCACCGATCCGATTCGGCCTTTAATGTGCTCTTGAGTCAATCACGTCTTGGACTGCCGGTCTATCCGGGAGATGATAACCACACTCTCAAAGATCTTATAGAGGACTTATATGATTACCTGGAAAGAGCCATCACTTACCAGGTGAAAGCGATCGGTCTAGATGGTAGCACTTATAACCAGCCGAGGTCAGCATTGGATGGTTGGGATTTCACCGATTTGGCTCTAGAGCGAGATCCCATCTATCCACGGCGAGCATTCCTGGATGATGAGGGCCGGTCCTGGGTCGACTTCAGTCGTTCCATACACGCGGTCATCCTATTTGGCAGAGGTTTCGGTGAGATTATTCGGCCTGCTAACGCATATTGCCCTTCATGGGCAAAACTGCCACATGGAAAATCGTATCTTGGTGCTGCAGTTGCAGACTTGTACAAGATAATGGAGCAGCATGGGGACTATGATTCCCGACCAATGCGACTTTGTCACGACACATTCTGGTCGGTAACCATCGAGAAGTTCAGTCATTGCTCATGTGGCATCCAGCCTAACCCTGAAAACCCCAAGCACTCTGATTTTGTTCAAGTTCTTCTCCCTTCAATCATGCGGCACAATCTACCCAGACATGCTCCCGTGCGCCCGGAACCTACAGGTGCGGTTATATTCGGCCAGAGCAGCAGGGACCAATGGTACTGGGGCAACTTTGGGCCTCCCGCAAGAACATCGAATCTGATCAGCAATGACTACCAAACCTACTCTAGTTCTGAAGATAGTAGATTTGGGACGAATATTGATTCAACAGCATCCAAGAACAGTGAAGTTTCAGCACCTGATTTTTCTCAACGGGATGTGGAAGAGTGCCTGAAACAGACGTGTACGATCTCTGGTGAAAGGAATAACTTCTCCTTGGCGGAGAGGCAAGAGGTTGACACCAGAAATAGTCGCTTTGCGGACGACTACAAGTTGGGCATTATATGCGCCCTCCACATTGAGCTCATGGCAGTACGTGCACTGTTTGACGAAACGCATGAGAATCTGCCTATTTCCAAAAACGATGACAACTACTACGCGCTGGGATGCATGGCGAAGCATAACGTTGTTGCTGCTTGCCTCCCCTTAGGCACCTACGGTACGAACCCTGCTGCAATTGTTGCAACCCATATGAAGCGCAGTTTCCCAGCCTTGAGATTCTGCCTTCTGGTTGGTATAGGAGCTGGTGTGCCTTCCGAGAAGAATCACATTCGCTTAGGTGACATTGTTGTCAGCAAGGCAAGCGGCAAATATCCCGGCGTCCTGCCGTACGATATGATTAAATGCCTCGAATATGGAGCATCTGAGCTGAATGCTTGCCTGAGTCCTCCTCCAGCTCACCTGATGGGCCTGATAAGTGAGCTGGAGTCAGACCCAGGGGGTTCTACTACACTCCAAGAATATATTCAGCAAATTGAGGAGAGCCAGCCTCAGTATAAGTACCCCGGCGCCATCAACGATAGATTGTTCGCATCTTCGTACGTCCATAGAGGCGGTGACGAATCCTGTGGCCTGTGCAACCCATTGTGTGAGGTCCGACGAGCACCACGATCGTCCGCTTGTCCGACAGTACACTATGGCTTAATTGCATCTGGAAACAAACTCATCAGATCGGCCGAAAAGCGTGATAAATTAGGCCGTGAGTACAATGTACTGTGCTTTGAGATGGAAGGCGCTGGGATCGTAAACAGCTTCCCCAGTTTAGTCATCCGGGGGATCTGTGACTATGCCGATTCTCACAAGAACAAAACCTGGCAGAAATATGCTGCTGCAGTTGCTGCTGCGTATGCAAAATTGCTGCTCTCCCGACTGAGGACGTCAGACAGCGTACCCCAATCTCCTGAGATGGGTAGAAGTCGGCATTGGTCTAAGTGACCCATACAGGGAGGCCATGGGGTGGTTGGAACATGTTTGCAATCCAAGTCTGAGGACGATGTTGAGGATATTATCCTGGTGTCCAATCAATTAATGGCATGCGGCGGCCAGGGATCCACGTTTCGTAGCTGGAAACATGACCCAATCACAAAGTGGGCCAGATTATTTTCGCATAGCCCAACCAGTAATGAACTCAGCCGTACCGAAGTACAAGTTATTCGATGCCAGTCAGATATAGAAGCTGTTCTTTCTCTTTGATCCAGTGTCTCCCTGGGGATAATTGGGTAGCACTCTGACCAGTAACTAAGAACGGGTACCGGAGCAAGGGGTGAAGCAGGCAGATATATTCTCCTTCAGACAGTACGTAGATAAGGAGGGTCAATAAGAAGCATCGGTACGCCATTTATTATACTCACAGCCCAAACCATGGAAGTGTTTTTTTGCGCTAAACCTGATAATCAGCGTGACCGATGTAATGCCGGAAGGTCGCCATGTCTTATTTTCCAACTTTGATCCATCGTGAACATTGACAGTGGACATGGAGAAGTTTAGGTATAACTAGATATGACGAAGAAGACAGCGTTCCAGCGGGTCATAAGGGTGATCCGGCCGTCGGATCGAGAGGGGAAAAATCCCGAGTATTTGGCTTAATCGAGTTCCCGATCATAATGCTTTAGTCGAAGACAAGCCCATGTCGTATTATCACTGGGCCAAAAGGCACATTGAATTAGGAATAGCTTTTATTCGGATTTCCTCCATAATCATGACTTGCTGTCGCCCTGTATGTCCTGTTCGACCTGAGCACTCAGCGATTCCGTCTGGGGCGACCAAATTACTGTTATCTATATGGGCGTTACCTGATGAGTGAGCCGCGTCTACATCGAGGGCTGTCGCATTTGGGGTGTGCTTTCGGTTCTTTTGTGTTATTTGGGTATTATTGCTGGATTTTGAATAACTCCATTTCCAGGCTGTTTCATGGAATCATCCGAGCTTAAAAGCCATCGTCAGCACCTAAGGTACCAGCAATAATGAAGTGCCACTCACTCGGTAACATTTGGGGAGAATATTATCTCAATATCTTTTGAGATACTACTTTTGATGCGATTTTATTCCTGTTGTGAGGCCGATGCCTTTATTCCTAACACGAGCCTCGGGAGGCTTCGTTTTACCAGCCTGATTTAGATTTTGCTAAAGTTCCCTATGTCCACAGTTACTGGTATTTACCACCCATGAAAGCCTGTTGTTCGCCTTCAGAATACCAAAAGCTCTCTATACTATATATTGGGGCGGAGCATACAGTCAGACGCATTTACTTCAATTTCGACCTCCAATCATAAGGAAATTATACGGACACAGAGCATAGCCATGTGATACATAAGTGAACCCAGAGGCCTCCTAGAAAGATAGTGAAGATCAGAAAAATAGATCCCTGCTATTTCTTATAGATTTGACTTTACAATCGAGAACCCATGCATACGTAATGTGCTGTTGTAACTTCAATTAATACCAGGTAGTCCTACCACACATGCTACCTTGTAGACAGCTTCTAAGAGCCACATAGCGAAGGTCTTTGGGGTCGTGGTCATGAATTAAATAAGAGATCACCAAAGCCTCAACTATTTTAAAAGCTATATATTCCATAACATCATAGGCAAGCCCCTACGACGGCTGAACCGCAATAGGGAAGTCGGCAATATGCAGCTTTGCCGCGCCGTAAGGGACCAAGCGGATCTTACTCGGCGACCCAGTGACATTTGGATACTTAGGGGGCACCGCAGCGGTCCCCGAGTCCTCCTCCCAGGGGACCAGCCATGCATCGGCGAACAAGGCAACGGGGGTGGCATTTTTCGCCCAGATGGGATTTTGTAGTTGTCCATCACGATCGTAGACCTGCTGAACAGTGACCGAGGTCGGGTCGATAGCATACCGCCAAGCAGAGGTTGGGTCGAGCACATAGTCATGTGTCTGCGCCACGATCTGGTCTGCTGGCAGTGGCTCCAAGGCGGAGTAGTTGAGGGGGCTGTGGTAGGTGGAGTTGTAGTCTATGTCTAGCGCATATAATAATGGGCCGTAGTAGATGGCTGCGGTGCCGTTGGCTGGTGACTTTGCGACCTGGATGCCCATTTCTAGCTGCACAGCTATCTGGGTAGTTCCTTTGGTGAGGTTGAAGGTTTGCAGGTTATTGGAGGCCGAGGAGAGGGGTTTGGACGATCCACCCGCCAGTGAGTACTGGGAGCTCGTCTTGTTCACCCAGTCAGGGATACGGACGGAGAATGATAGGTCGGTGGTGGCTGTGATTGCATATTCCAGTCGGCCGGAGAAGGGGTAGTTGGTTGTGCATGCTATGGTCACGTTGCCTGCAGCAAGGGTCGTGCTCAATGTTTCGGGCCCCAGTAGTGCGTGAATCACATGGCTGTCTCCCTCAAGGACATAAGAAGCGGCCACATACTTGGGATAACCCTGGCCATGGTTTACGGTGCAGCAAGGAAAGTTGGGCTCGAGGCCATAGCTGTTGGCGTAGGAGTTCACGTTGGCGAAAGGGACGGCACTCAAGTTGCGGGACCAAGGCTGATTGACCTGCTGGACATATTGATGTGACCACCCTGAGAAAGTATTAGCTGGGGTATTTGTACTAGGTGCTCATAGACTTACAATTCGGTGATAGCGCTGCAGGCAGGGAGTTGAATGCGACGCGCTCGGCTCGGTCTGCGTATGCGTTCGTGCCGTAGAACCGATACAGATAGGCCATAGAAAACATCATCTCAACTGAGATGCAAGTTTCCGAGCTGTTTCATGTCAGTACCAAATAGCAAATTCAAAGAGAGGCGAAGACACGCATACCCTCGCTCGGGACTGAGTCCGCCCAGATGCTCATCGGCCGTGATGCTCCCAGCAAGTGTCGACTGGTAGGTGGTGAGCAAGTTTACCGCTAAGGCGGTCTGGTCCAGCAGGGAAGGATTTCCATTCATTCGGTAGAGCACCGTCGGATACCGTAAGCCTGTCTCGGTCAGCACTGCCTTCCACTGCCCTAGGGCTCAATTTCATACCTTCCGCTAAATTGACACCATGGGTGAATGAGCTGGTCGTGATATACGGCGTTCCCAAGGTGGGGAAAATGCCCTCCACGAAGAAGGTTGTCCAGTCCTTCCCACCCGCGACACCACCGGCAAACATAAGCTCTATAGTCTCCCAGATTACTTCTGAGTTATTTCGTGGATAGTTCTCATACAACCACTGCAACGACATGGGCAACTCATGCGTCCGGGCTAGTCCAAAGCCGTAGGGATCAAACTCGTCTCCAAGCGTCGTGTTCTCGATGAGGCCGGTGAAATTGTCCTTGAGCATGGAACGAGCCAGGATGGTAAACTTATGCATCGCTGTTACAATCCGGTCCGTCTCGGATGGATCTGCCTGTGCGTATTGCTGGACCGCTGGGTCAGAGCCGAGCACCACATGTACACATACCAGACATATGCACTCACCACTAAGCCAAAGAAGAGCAGACTACGTGCCCAGATTCCTCGAGTTTGGTGAGTTTTCTCGGGCCCCAGCCATCCATCTTCAGCTTGATTGTCAAGCACGTAATCGAGAAAATGCTTCGCCTGAGCTTTCAGGCGCGCGTCGTCGATGGTCCAGGCGAGGGGGACAACGTAATTAAACCAGTAGGGCGCTGCCTCGTCTAGCGTGCTGTACTCCCAATCACCCCCGGCCCATGTTGATCCAGCCACAAAGCGGTAGAAGTCGTTGAGATGGCCGGCCAGTCCATTTGCTTCGAGCTCCAGCTGATCATGCAGCCAGCCCGTGGCGGTAATTGTACCGAGGGGAAATGTGTTATACTTGAATGGCTCAAGTGATTTATCCATACCTAATTTTGGTTGTTATATGTTAAGTAAGGATGTATATGCAACGTTTTTCCTAGGATGGTTCAGGTTGACTCACTTTCAGTAGAAATGCTGGCCGTGGCTGTGGAGCTCAGATGCAGAGCTAAGGGCAACAATTGCGACCACTTCATATCTATCATTACCTGCTGAAAGCCTACAACGCCCAGCTTTGGAGAAGGTCGGGCGAAAGATAAAGAAAAGAAGCTCGGCTCCTTCTCCGGCATTTAGCCCGCCCTTGCTTAGTTAGGTGGAGTATTCCCCGCATGATGGACGGCCGGGATTCCTGTTTGAGTTGGTGGTTTTTAAGAGGTATGCGGTGAGTCTCGGGTGAACTTATGTGTTTTCTGAAGGTGGACGGCCGGTGTCCTTTCAGAGATGGCTTAGATTAAGGAGGAGGAACAGGTGCCCTATATACACAGACCCGCCAAAGGAAAAGCCCACTATGCCGCCTCACAAGCCTGCGTAATCAACTAACATACCGATTTACTAGGGCTTCCTGGGCAAACAGTATCATAACTGTCGGTATCGCCGGGATTTTCGTAGATGAAACACTGGAACATCTCCGGGATTTCACCCGAGGGTCGAAAGAACTGGATAATCATGGATCTCACAGATCATAAATTTATTTTGGGCCAAATGCTCCTGGTAGGCGATGAGATGCACTTAGATCCCACTCAGGATAACGATCTCCTCAGGTTGTCCCTTCCTTTGCAGTGCTTATATACTGACCCCTGTCCTCATGCCAGACAGCTAGTAATTTAGGCTGTGGTTGGCACGGGAGTGAGCAGATCGACTTGGTTCAACTGAGCTTGGTCATGCAAGGGTTCATAATATGAGAAGGTACGCTAGAGGAGAGACCCCTGAGAGCAAGAATATCTGACAATGTCACTGTTACCACTAGAATCTCTAGATTGGATACAGGTACTCTGAATCAATCGCTGCTTGGATTTACGGGAAGACTGATCCGGTTCTCATAGTTGGGTCCGAAGTGCACATGATTGTTGCCCTTGAAAACGCTTTCTGGCCTGTTCGATTGTTATTCAGTTTACGTGTTACATTTATTCCATGGAACGTGTTGTCGTTAGCTTACCTGTCACTTGGACCATTGTGCTGGAATAAAACCGCTACCAGCCAGTTCAGAAGCGCCGATATCTGAAACGAGGCGCTCACCCTTCTGCAACACGACATTCGTAGGCCACAGTTCCACATCCACAGTGTACACCTCATTAGGGATAACTGGAAGAACGTCGGTGGAGTAATAATCACGATAAGGCAACCAAGGGCGATGGCGCGGGTGCTGAGGATTGACTTTTCGTAGACTTACTTTCAGGAAGCCCTTTGTCACCGAAGCTCACTCCCCGGTATTTCCCGTGTAAGACACTTCGCCGCCAGACGATGAAATGTGGCGGAGAAAGTAGAATAGATCCATGTCTGTAGGCGTGGTTGACTGCCAGCCATGGCGACTCACGGAGAGATTGAGCCGAACTACGATGTGGCCTGTGATTTCTTGCTCCGAATCAAACGGACCTGAAGTAGAAGAAACAAAGGCCTAACACTTTGAAAGATACAGAAAGCACGCAGAGCATCTACGACGAGCTGGTCAGGGCCATGTCCCTATGGTCGTCGGTTGTCCTCTTCATCAAGCTGACAGGACTAAACCTAGCAAGCCGTCTGGTCGAGATACAAACACTGGACAGTCGCATTCATTCTAGAGGGAGAAAAGCCGAGTGCCGAATAACCGGAGATTATGGATCACGGTTCCATGTCGGGATTTTCTGACATGTTGTAGTGCATTAGGCGATACTGCCCTCCGTTCTGCTGCTCTGGTCCTTTGTCATGGTACCAATTGGGAGGGCCGCCATCCACTACGCACCCAGTTTGCTATGGCGAGTCTCTGGAAATAGTCCCTTCGGGGATAGATATCGGAGAGGTAAACCGAAGTCTTTTTGACACATAACCCATAGTTGTGTTATAGCATGTGAGTACATGATAGTGCATATAAATATGATCTCTATCAATATACCCCGTGAATTGAATAACCTAGCGAAGCTAATATAATCACTGATCACTTAGTTGTGCTCATACCGCCTACTGAATATAGCTTACTATGCTTCACCGGTCACTGTGCGTCATCTAGGCGACATTGTCCACAGTGTGAATGAACTATGTCCTGTTCTCGTCCATCATCCCATTATTGTTCTGTAACGGAAGTGATTGCGTCGAAGAATATACGTAGGAATGTAAATCAATCCAGCTTGAATTCTCGCATGACAAAGTCCTAACCATGCTGCAGTTCTTCCCCCTTAGCTCCTTCAGCCATGAAGTTCTATGGCCAACAATAGTGGCACTCAATATCACGCTTCAGGCGACGCCTCCCGTTGTCCTCCCACCTTCCCCAAAGGATCACGGATATCCCCGCAAATAATCTTCCAGCAAGTCTCATAATCAACAATCCCTTGGGAGTTCCGATGTTCAGGGCGACACAACAGCTCCAGAATCTCAAAGTCGCAGTGTTCGACGGCAATGAAAAAACTATATGAGTGTTTGAACGGGACCCTCCACTTCCACCAGATATACCCGTCCTCACAAAGCTTCCCTTCTCCGAAGACTTCCTTATCAGGCTCATGTTCATGTAGGTCATCCCACACTGATTTTTTCATCCCATAGTGTAGCACGATCGTTGAGTCCACGGCCGACTGGTCGTCTAGGACTGCCATCCAGTTCTCCACAGTCATCCCTTGTTCAGATGGTGGTCTTTCCGAGAAGAAGCGACGGAAGTACTGACGGAGCTCGTCGTCATTTTTGCCTAGGAATCCTGTTTTGAAGTCTTGAATGGGCGCTTCCGTTCCCCATTCGTCCACCTCTTTCTGCTCAGGATAACGGACAAGCGTAAGAAACGGACAGGCATTGTCAGCCGTTTGACTCTCATCGAAGAGCTGATTGAAGATCTATTCCAGGAGGTTAGCTAAGCTTACTCAGACGTGTAGAGGAGAATGTCATCTCTCGTACACTTGCTGGCATGTTTGCTGTGAACAGAGTCATGATATCGGACATTGTGAGTGGATTAACAGCCAGTGGTTTTGTCAATCTTGGAACGGATCAGCGCGGAGCTCCTGTTCAGTGGCATTAGGTTTAGACACGGAGTAGACAGCTGGGATAGACGTTCTTAAATACTCCTATCACCGCTGGATGGCCAGGTTGGGTAAGGCGCGTATATGGTGAATATGCGGTGATAGGCGACACGTAACACTCACCGCTTTGAACCCTTCGGCTACATGCCTGTCAGATGCTGCAATTCAGGGGCGAACCGCTGTCATGTAAATTAGTTGTTCAGTCATGAGTAACGTAGTCAGCCAATGTAAGCTAGATGTGCAGAAACTTTGAAGAGAGCCTTATGTGTGTGTGTCACGTAAGCCAACGCGTCAAAAAGGGGGAGATCAGCTGGGGATCCAAGCCGCGACGGGCTCAGAAATTGCTTTGTTTGACAGCTGGAAATACATGTCGGTCAGGTTCAGAAGAAAGCTCCGGTCTAGCACTGTTATAATTATTACGGACTTGCCGCAACTAGAAGCCTAAACCGGGCGTATGCGGTTTTGTCTCCTTTGAGCATCTAACAGACGCCTAGGCAGACATTGGTCTGTCTACCTTGTTTGCTATGGTGCTAAGCAGGCAAAGATCACGGGTATTAGCCTCTCTTGCAACATGCTGTGCGACCGAATTTCAATTACAAGTTCCTTGCAAAAGCATGCTACTTCAGTAATATCCCAATGAAAAGCTTCTATGGCACTCTGGGGGATGTTAGCCCCCAGTTTAGTAATACTTGCCCTTGGTGACAGATGTAGCTTTGGGTTCTCGCAAATGCGGTTTTCTGATCCTTGAGGTTTACTACTCGTGAAACCAACACTTTCCCAGGTTTTGCCAACGACTCAGTCCTTTTCTAGCAGAATGGATGCCAATATAGCCATCTGGCAATCACGGGTTGTTAGGATACTCAGACTGAGATCCCTGACAATGACTGCCTTCTACCTACCCATTCTTTCATCCGCCTACTTTTCTCCGATGCTACTATTTTGAAGTTATTCTCTAAGCACATCTTTTCAATGATGGGTCACATCTGGCAATCTCTTGGTCAGCCTATTCCCCTTCAGTTGTCACCAATTTCTTAATGACAGTGATACCATGTTTCATGAAGGCTCTTGTGCCTTTTTACGTCCCTGATACCCCATGTTGGATTTTAAATTTGCTTATCCTTTTCAGTATACTATGCTGCTCTCCGTTCACAATTGCAAGGGAAAGTCAGCAATTTCAGCCCCAGTGTGGTGCCACAGACATGTCCTTGAATCTATTTGTGATGTAAGACCTGGAGAGATCAGAAGCCAAATACAAAAGCGAGCTCTCTCCTAGCTCTCTGGAGCATCTCAATGTCCAAGGGACGTATCGGTGCTTTAAATCAAATGTTTACTCAAGGATTAGCTCATTTTATACACCTTCTATCTCTTTCAACATGCGGGTCTTCAATCTCCTTGCATCTTTCTTCTGCATAGGGAGCATACACTTTGCCCATGCAGCCCCAATTTTAGCCCCTGATGCTGCTTCTGCGACCAACTTAGATAGGCGTGCCCCTCCTGTTGCTGGTTCAAGTAAAGCCTACCCCATTGCGGGAACCATGGAGGTTAAGGAAGAAAACGCTTTACCTTTTGATGGTGACTGCTATGCTATCTTATGTCTGGGAAAGGAACCAGTCTTGTGAGCCTCTGGCACTAACCCTCGGAACCAATACAGCAGTGAACATTTATCTGATAGACACATTCTCTTCAACCACCCAGCCAGCGCGACGGAACAGAGAGTGATCAAAATCGAAAGGATGCGGGTGTAAAGAAGAAGTTTCCAGGAAGCGATGGCACTGGCCCATTCCGAAACCCAACAGCGGCCAACGTCAAGATCCCTGGCAGTCTATATGTATCTCCAGAGGAATTTCCTTACACATCAACTACTCAGGGTGGTTATCAGTAAGCTCCCTGATGATGATGACTACTTCGCGTACTAACCACCATATAGGGCTCTCCTTTTCCCAGTAACTGAAAAGTCCCAGCATTCTCAGGGCGGATCAATCAACAGCTTCTACAGAAAATACCAAATCCAACCGGCACATAAAGGCCAAAATAGCTGGTATCAAATTACCGGGTGGACTGGGACCCTCGGGTAAGATGTGACCTTATGTCTCTATGCCCTTCTTCTGACAAATGCTTGTTCTGAGTATCGATCAGTCCCTACTGCAAGGCTCTCCGGAATAACAACGCAAAGCCTAACAAGGATGATGCCATTTGTAAACCGGGTTCCAATGGCAAGGGCAAGTGGGGATTTGATGTCGGCGAATATGCTTATACTTACGATGGTCACAGCTATCGAAAGGCTAAGGGGAGCAAATAAAGAATGTAACGGAGATTGGTCTGATGTGGATGTATTCTGTTCTATGAATTTGTATTATTACCTTTGTATGAGAAATAATCCTCGTCTACTCGGATAGAGAACTTTAGATTGTTGACTCTACTCAGGTCGTGAAGATGGCTTTCGCGTACCGATTTGAAGAGATAACAAAATATAGGTCATTGTCTATCAATCAGTTAGGCGTATCGATACTAACTTACTTCTATCCCACATTTTCTTGCTTGAAAACCATTATTAGGGCTCGGGATACCAGATGACAACTTCCCAAAGTACGAGAATTCGATACCTACATGCCAAACCTCTTTCTTGCAGAGTAAGTGTTGTTTATTATTTATCTACCGTATGTATTGCCCCGTCACAAGCCGAAATACTGTCGATCATAACAATTCCATCCAGCCCACATCCCTGAGCGACAACGGCCCAAAGCGCTTTCTTCAGTCTACCAAATCATTGTCGGGCCATGTTCGTACGTGTTAAAGACCCCTCAACCTTAGGCCCTATCCCTTATGATGGGGGCGTTGTATTGGTTAGCAAAAGCTCGATCACTCCTTTGGACCCTGGTGGGCTCGCTGCTGCTATCGTCGCAACAAGAACCTTCATGCCCAAGAAGTTTGTCACGAGATATTGCTATCTAGCACCTTTCACCTCACAGATGCTCTCCTACCTTCCAAAAGCATGCACCCAAATGGCTAAGCATCTATCCTCAATGACTCCGCAAACGGCACTACAATTGCCAAGATCCCCGATTTGGATACGGAATTGACCTCTCTTTCAGCAATGTTGGGTTGACAATTGTTTGTGAGCTGGTGTTGATATCTGTCAGGATAGAGTTTGAGGCAACGTGTCCACAGCAATCACTGCTATCCTTAAATGTCTCCACTCAATGAGTTGCTAGTATTCCCAGCTGAGAAGAGTAAATTAGGGCAGTTCAAGGAAAGCCCTTGGTCAGGCGAGTCAGTAATGTATTGATAGAGTCCCGTCGCAAGCTGCGCTTTCTACAGCTGACATTAAGAAAACTTACGTCATACTTGTTTTCCTTTGCTGAAAGTTATGAATACATCAGGGACTACGTCGGAGTCTTCGGTTATACCTGAGAATAAGGTCTGTTTTATGGTGTTGAAGGAGCATGTGGCGGCTCGGGCGCTTCTTTTACCACTGTTCTATAACGTGTTTTTCAGTGACCTTTACTTCTCTAATACAGCATACATTTCCATCATTTGACTTACCATAAGCATCCTCTCGATTATATGGGAAAAAAAATGAAAAATAAAAACCCGCCTTCATTATTATAGAGACCATTTCATTTTACCTCATTTCGTTCTTGTAAGGCGGACAACCGGCTCTGAAGAGTCGCTGATACTAACCGTAGACATTAGAGCACTTTAATTTTGAGCATACAAGGAGGAAAAAGTGTTCGAGATCTGGGGATTGGGGAGGGGAATTCGGCCGCACGAGGAAAATAAACACTCATATAGAGTTTCAAGAACACTGACCACTATTTCCCAAATGTGATTCTCGAGTGTTACTTAGTGATACGCACTCCATTATCGCTGGTAGTTGAAAATGGTTCTCTTGATACTGGAGCATATTAGCGAGATAGGAAGTAATATCGCAGGTAATGCAGTGCCATAGTATGGCAGATTAACAATAGTTTATGATGATGGCTTCTTACCTCGGGGGGTCGCTACCCCAAATCTATTAGTGATACTGGGAGTATATTCGAAGACCTGAAACAAGCTAAAAGCACAACACGAGATGAAATAAACGTTAAAACGTTGACCTCATTTATTGGATAGAGCGTATATGGCTATCAGTATAAGATAATCATTCATTACGGTAGACAACCAGGTTGGAAGACAATCTAATCTGATATGATCTAATTCTATAATTACGTTCACGCGTCACCAGCGCGTCGAATGATTGGGCTGTCAGGTAAAGTGGATTTTCGCGATTGTTTCGACTTCTCGGAGAATAGGGGGAGCTGATTGGGTACCCTATTGTAGACTAATAAGTTGCAGAATGATGACCTAAGTATTGGTGAATGATATGGTAAGGGGTGAGTCATGGGAAGGGAGGTAATGAGTGAATGACCTAGTTGGTATGAGTCTATGTGGCATGTTTGTATTGTTTTGGCTTCGTACGAGACTCCAGGTTCCCTTTATGGGCAGACGATTTCGACAGCATCAAGCCCGGCGAATATTACCGGCTCTAGCCTTAGCATGAAACGCGCGATCCTCTTCATCAATACCATGCACAGTGGTCAAGTACTGCTTGAAGTCCCTCGTCATGTTGCACACTTGCTCAAAGTCTCGCTGATCCAATGTCGGGCCGTCGTCTTTGGACTTGTCTTGCTTTTGAGAGAAACGGTACTCGGCGAGGGCAACGGCTGTTTGAAACGCTAGAAAGAAAAACTATGTCAGTTTCTTTATTTGTACGAAGAGCCGGGATGGGTAAAGACCATACCATTACGAATTTCCCGTCCATTCCATTGCATTTTGCTAATCACTTCATCCTCCAAGACATAGGACTTTGCACGTCGAGTCACAACAAAGTCATGGCGCTCGTCGGTCAACTTGTCGAAGAATTGTTCCCATATCGTTCTCCGGTTTTCTTCACTCAGATTGTCATACCGAATGACGACGTGGATTCGAGAGATGAAGGCATCGTCGAAGTGGCCGACTCGGTTAGTCGTCAGGAATAGGATTCCTCGATAGTATTCGATGCATCGGAGAAACACTTTTGTGGAGTCAAGTATGAGTTGGAGTTATCTGGGTATTACTGTATCAATCTTACCGGATACCAGACTATTGCGCTTAAGATCTGTGATCTGTCGCCTCTCGAGATAGACATCCGCCTCATCGATGAGCATGACTGCGCCCCATTGTTCGGCTAGCCTGAACCATTTGGACAATTGTCTCTCCATTACTACTTCGTCCGTACCGATGTCTCCAACGGTCAGCGATAGTAGTGCCCGTCCGGTGTATTCGGCTATACATTCTGGGTTGGGTCAGTGATGATAGCGACGTGCTGTCATTTGATCGTGTGTACGACTTACCAGCAGTCTGTGGCAGTCAGTAGGGTTCAGGTTATATCTGGAGAGGATACAACTTACAAAGGTTTTCCCCACGCCCGGACTGCCATGAAGGAGGAATATCTGCCCTTCGCCTTTGTTCTCAATGAAATCGGCTCCCCAAGATCTATTGTGTTCGTCGCTTCTAGAATCTGTGTATTTCTGCACAAGCGCGCGGATCATCTCTTTCCTCGCTTCCGGCATAACCAAGCTATCAATAGCCCTTTTGTTCACTTTCGGCTCCCTACAGTACGAGACGTTCAATTCCTCTGCGCCCGTTAGCGAGTCATTGAGAAAGCAGATTCGACATGGTAGCACCCACCCCATGTCCTGGATTTCAACACAAGTCCATAAAGTACCCGGCTGCAGAGTAAGTAACGATGACGAGCACCTTCGGGGGACTCGGGAAGCTCAAGATCGATATCCACTCTTGGGTCCAAAAGATCATAAGCGGCCCACCGGAAGCCAGGCAACGGGTGAGGTTTCCAGCCACGACACTCTTCGCAGAGGCATTTAGCTAGTCCGTCACCCATGTCCTCGACTTCACAAATGTCTGGGGCTGTGTATTCGTGCTGTGCAAAAAAAGAAGCCGAGTCGACATAGACGCGACCTCGGTACTGTCACGAGATGTCAGTATAGCTCATACGGGTAATAAACGCATGCTTACCTGTCGCTTAGATGGACCCAGGAACTCGCCCGAGTAGAACACCTGCTTTCCCTGGAGAAGCTCATACCATTTCCGCCCAAGATCCTCCAAGTGCCTCCGAGTCTTTCCATTGTCCTGTCTATCGATGAAGTGGCACGGAAATATCTTGAGCGAGGTGACTTGTCGCTCGCCATCGAAGTGTGCGATAGTCACGGTTTTGGAACGCCTCCCGACATATGTTCCATTAAAGTCAAGATTCCACAGCTGGACAATATAGGGATGAGTAAACTTGCGACCAGTGGATGAAAGCAACGTCTTATCAACTTGCAGATATTGGACCACGTAGGCTGACAGTTGACCCCCAGACTCCATATACACAGTTTCTCCGGGCTTGAAGAGTAACCACAGCATTCGGAATGTGCAACGGTTCTGAGTGTGTCGGGCTAGTTCATCAGGGAGACGATCTTTATAGAACGAGTCTTTTACATAATCAAGCAGCAGGCCTAGCTGATCAAATGTCTCCTTCTCGCACAAAGGAATGGCAGGATCATGGTCTGCGGCATCTGGCTGTGGGGAGCCAACATCATCTTCTCGATATGTCGCTCGGTAAGCTTCAAGCTCTTTAAGATGATGACCGACTAAGCAAAATGGCTCATTGAGTTGGAGATACTCCCCACCCAGTCTTTCAGCCGGGTAGTAAGTTACCGCACGGGCCAGAGCATTGAGAAGAGTTTTGGAGAAGATGGTCATACGAGTCGAACGGACCCCAACCTCGATGGTCGGGTTCGTTATGATGCCATCGTGTAGAAGGCCTTCGACTTCATGTGAGTATCTGTGCGGGTCCGGGGGCACAGACGTCTCCAAAACCGTAGTGACATTGAAGATAACGCGCTGCTTGACCTCGACGCTTTTTTGAATGACTGAGCTGTTAAAAGGACCTGACCACGGCACTGTGGTGATAATGTTGCTCCCGGCGTCTAGATATTCCAGGCAATAGGTCACAATGGAAGAAGGATCAGTGGTGGAGTCCTCGTGGACCTCAGGCGCTGGAGCCAATTGTTCTGCATCGCTCTTCATAGGCAAATGTGGTCCTGGTTGGTTGTCATCCTGTTCTTTGCTGTCTTCTTGTGGATTATTGAACTCTCGCTGAACCCATGTGGGCTGCGTCCACATGACCGTCAAATTCTGGCCGCACTTGGGGCATTCGCCAAATCCAAAATCTAGCAGGGTCGCATGGGATCGCCCATTCTCCGGACAATATAAGGTTGCCCATGACACCTGATTATCCTCATACTGGTCCTTGGCTTGGTCACTGGAAACACCTCCCTCTCCACCAGTTTCGGTCACTTTTTCCTTTGCAGCATCCTCCTCTAAATCGGAACTCGGGGAGTGGTCTGCTCCTGTAGGTATATGTGTCTCGACATTTGACGAGGCAGGGTCTGATTCTGCACTCACACTTATGCTTATGTTGTTAGGGGGAGTTGAAACCAAAGTAGTGCCCAAGGTGATGGCACTCATGTCTCCTGCGTCGCCGTGGCTCATGGTTATGTTTGCCAAATCCTGAAACAAGGCGCTAGATTCAAGTTCTAATAATTGATCCTGGAAAAGTCAACTCTGGGGCCTTCAGGACGCGATGTCGGTCCGTCTTTATACCACTAAGCGTATAAAATTTGGCTTAAGATTACTGCATGGCTTATCTTCTGATTCCACCATTTTGTGGAGGCTGAGAGGCTTAGCACTCCACTTAGCGCTCCATTCTCAGGCTCAGCGCTTATAGACCCCGTGTCCGGCGGCCATACCACTCACGCCAATACGAAGCTTCCCTGTTTTTTTTGGCCTTGGCGACTGGTCTGCTGGCTCTCAAACGGCCACGGAAGAGGCTGAGTGGGGGCGTAAAGACATGGGATATTTCTCAGTGCCCAATACCCAAGCCCTCTCCGCCCCACTAGACGACTTCATCACTATTCCGTCTCCAATATATAACACGCCACATACAACTAAATTTCGACAACACTTGGATATATTGGCTCCAGGTAGACGAGTAAGCAATGCAACAACCACCGATATCCTTTCTGATTAGGCGATATAGTATGAAGGCAGAGCAGGAGACGCCCAACAATCCGCTCACCCAGGCCCTGAGTACCACGATAAAACAGCGGGACGAGATCGAGAAACAGTCTCGGGTGCAGGCGGAACAATGGAGCAAATGGCTCAAATTCGGTGATACCACAGAGTAAGGCCCATCATGCAACCAGGCATGCCTTTTCAAGTAGTAGCATTATGCCGAGACTGACTAATTCACCAGTGACGCAGATTTGAGGCGGCTAGAAGATGGTCGAAAGAGCATTGTAGAGATTTGGCAGCGATTTCGGGAGCATCATCATGAAGATTCTAGAGTGGGCTCTGATCAACTAGTCCCGGAGATACCAAATATTGCCACGTTGAGAAATATCGTCCAGGACGCCCAGATGGACTGGCAGGCTAAGAGAAGTAAAGGACTGGGAAAGGTCAAAAGTTATGTTGTCGACTTTCTGGAGATGATGGACGACCATTCTTTTCTGTTCAAGTTCATCCCGACCGGAGACAAGTACATCAGTCTGATCACGGGTGTTATCTCGTCAGTCGTCAAGGTATGCGATCACATCCGGAGAGCACGAGTTGGCTATGAGCTCAAAACATCTGCGCGTACTTAGATATGTGCCAATTATAAGCGAATTGCTGAGGGGTTCTTTTCCGCCTTGGTCGATCTTAGCAGTGATTTGAGGCTCGTCCAAAAAAAGACGGATATCTGGGACAGCGCAGACATGAGGACGCTCGTCGTGGACTACTACGTGATGGTCTTTGAGTTCCTCTGCAACGCAATGTCATGGTTTAGTCGACCGCGCCATCGATATCGGACGATCATTGATAGGAATTCTTATGACCATGAAGTCAAGGACTTGGTTGATCGCATGAAATCGGCGGTTGCACGGATCCGTGACGAGGCGGCACATCTAGCAGAAAAGCAGGTCCTGGGTATCAGCAGCAAGCTGGGCCAAGTGCTTGATATTGTCAGCCCACGGCCAATCGATGTCTCTGGAAAATTCTTATACCTTCACGTTGTGGGAAGTGAGAGTCGAGATGACGACCGGGATGCGACGCAGGCAAAGTTTCATCACTTGGGTCAGCTCGTGGGAGCATGCTCACTTGAAACGCTTCAAGAGGTTGAGAGGAATACCAAACACGGTAGGACAATTGCCTAAGCCGCCTCGAGAATTGTGATCTAATCTGTGAGCCAGATTCACAGTCGCTAAAGATACACGAGAAGCAGGGGAGCCTGACAGATGTTACGCCGACAAATGTTCAAGCTACTGAAGTCGAGACATTGAAGACTGAGTCGGACTCTGGTAAATATTGCTGCGTTTATCTGTTTTATTCTACCTTCCTAACAAGCCATCCAAGACGCAGATGAGACGTGCACGCGCTACGACATTCAGAAAGCCACGACAGCCCTGATGAAGTACACTGACGATGGGAGAGAAGAGCTTTCCAATACACTCCGAGGAATTCCATCTTCTCTACTTCCACAGGAAGTATTGAGTGAGATCCAGGACTGGATCAGGAGCCCACGGTCGAAAATGATCTGGCTCGAGGGGGTCCCGTCATTTAATCATAGGTCCAATCTCTCCCTGGCAGCCATGCAGCTGTGCACTTTGAGCACAAGGGCACAAATTCCCTGTATCTCATTCTTCTGTAAGCCAAGGTACAATTGCGACACGGATGTCTCGAGCCAAGAAGTCCCTGTCATCGCGCTTTTGTACTCCATAATCGCACAACTTGCGCGTCTGCTCCCCGCAGACTTCCACGGTACCCCAGAGCTCCTGGCGCATTTTGAAATTCTTGATGGAACGATGGGATCTACCTCCACTGCATTGAGGATTATCGAGGGCCTCCTGGTGCATGCACCGCCATCAATTATCTGGGTCATTGATGGACTTCATATGGCAGAAAGCTGCGGTACTATTGAAATTCTGGACGATTTTGTGGCCATACTGCGTGAGCAGGAGAGGTTGCGGCTTTCCAAGGTATGCTTTACGACTGATGGAAACAGCCATACCCTGTTGCCGGCCATTATGGTGGATGAGCGAATAGATGTTTCTCGCATGGCTTTAGCAGGACCTGGGAGGCAATTGCATGGAGGGGGAGACATCTTCGCCGAGATGAACAGTTGGTAATGTGTGTGATTATTTTTTCCTGTCTTGGGAAGCCGGTCCAGTACTGATATATTAAGTCATTAAACAGGGGAGTATCATTATTCTTCAATTGAATACTTCCAGATTTATCATTTTTATCATCTGTATCATCTTCCTTTGCACAAAATCAACCCTGTCACTTTCTAGTAGTGTTCATCTAGTTTACCATCATTCCAGAACTTGATCCTGGATTTACCCTATCCAATATGAGATAAATGGCACTTGCGTATTCGAAAAATACCTTACTAAAGATGCACACTACAATGGAACATTGAGGAGACTTTTTACAGGCACCTCCTCGCTATGAATCAAAATGTTATGACTTGTGTCCTTGGAAGCACTAAGGCTCAAGAATAAATGACAAGAAAAGGCAAAGCCTTGTCGGAAGTCGCACGGATACAGTACCTTGCATGTTGAATGCTGCGCCAGGCAACAGGATACATCCGTCGAAAGCGTAAATGGTGAAAGAGTCCGGCTTTGATAAATGAACCGCACAGTGAAGCGTACATCAAGTACAGCTTCCTGCAGACTTTGTCACCCGCCAATGCACTATAGCTACGCCTATACAGTTTCATTAGCATGTTCACTGCCCCAGAGGCTAGGGGCCTTACCTTCCAATAGCCACCACCACGACCATATCCATCGCTGCCGCCGCCACCGCCACGACCGTAGCCGTCGAGCCATTCTCGCTTAGCCTGGTATAATGTCAGTATCCTTTTCTCTTTCACAATCCAGGAGTCACTCACTCTGCCGTAGCCATCGCCTCCACCATATCCATCGCCGCCGCCGCCGCCGCCACGACCGTAGCCGTCAAGCCATTCCCGCTTGTCGTTCTCCTCCGGAATAGACGCTCCGGGTGCCGCGATGGCAAGCCCGATAAGTGCACTCAGCCAGATAAACGAACGCATTTTGTTCAACTTTTTCTTATTGGTGGTGGTAGTGCGCTTGATGATTGTTATTGTGCTTGTGAGGCTTGTTGTTGTTCTTGAGATATCCAGATTGCACCCCGAATTCCAGGTCTGGGCCTACATTGTATATGGTAGTCTGGTCTCACATCGTGGACCATTTCTATGAGGCATTTACGCCCCTCACCATTTGAAATATGCTTTTTCTTTTGAATCGTCTGAGAACAATGCTTGTCTCCATCATGTCCATGCGTAGACTTGATTTACTGTCATGTGTCAACGCACTGACCGTTTCACCAAAAATGATATATTGCATCTATACAATCAGATAAATGGACAGATATGTTCCGATATCATGTGTATTGTGAGGCAGCTGGTGGAGCTCCGTGCAATATTGATCTCAGGAAGGAAATTGAGCGGATGCCGGATGCTGACGGATTGCGCTAGTTAACTAGTTAACTATTATGCATTGTGCCATATCTGACTAAGATTGGGTGCCTTTTATGCTTTTTCTGGGGTGAGGTACTACATGTTTCCTCTGTATCGGAAAAGCACACTCTGAACGACAATGAGAATAGAGTAGTTGTTACCATATGGAAACTTGGCCTCGGCCTCTGCTGTACTACGTCTGTAAAGTCTTTTTACAAATTGCAAGGCCCATCGGTGAAGGCAACAGACATTGTAGGCTCCTATATTGCTTTTTCCTGTTATTTCCAAGACATGCGGGTGAAGAGACAGTTATGGTAAGTTTGTATATTACTTTTTCATGCGGTTCCTAACACCTGCCGGTGAAGGAAACAGTTCTTATAATCCCCGATATTGCTTTGTCCTGGCTGCAGATACAGTGTGTGACAGCTCAATGATCAGCACGAACAAGTGCCACGAAACAGTGATTAGACGTAGTAGTAAGCTTGAATCTCAAATTGAGTACAGGTAAGCCAGAAGGGCAACTGATGATCAATCTCTAGAAATTGTAGAAGAGGTAGCCTCGCGGACTAAGTTCGAAACCGAATAGGATACGATGCTAGTATCAACATCTATTATGTGCGCCGTAGCGCTCGTGAACCCTCCTTCCACGATTAGCCTTGTGATCTGCGACTATAAATCGATATTATGTGTTCATGTCGCTTACACTTCAGAGAATCGGGAAAAGATTATCGATATGACGCCACGCATGTTTCTGGTGACCTAATGAAAACTTACAAATACCACTTTATCCAATCAAGACATAACCCCTCGCTATTTGAGATAACAGGAGGGTTTATATGACCGAAAACATAACCCGAGTCAAAGAGTATTGCGAGCCACTCGAGCCATTCTTCCTCAGAGGCATTCCGAGGCCGTTCTGTAAACAATAAGAAATTCAGAAATGAAGGATGCCGCATATTGTCCAGTTGACGATGGCAGTGACTGCCGCGGGAGCAGCAGTCTTGACAAAGACGAAGCCAGACGAGTGCTTCTTAGCAAGGCGTTTGAGGACCATGGGGTCCCTTCCAGTCCACCTATGAGCCGAAAGCACTTGCTATTCGGATTTTTCTGTGTCGTCCTACTGATGTTGAACACTGTGATGCTTGTTTTCAACCTCTGGACAACCACGTCCCATTCCCGCAAAGAAGGCTTTATTCAGAAGCCTACAGATTACTGGTGTAGGTACATCCTTTGCTTTGACTTCTCTACGCAGAATTTGACAGGTCTTGTACAGTGCCAGGCTTTGAAAGTGGAATCGTTTACGAGAAACGACAATTCTATAGCGCTCATTCGGATTACGCGGGTGTGGGACCGGAGGTAGATGCCAAATGGCATGACTTGACAAGTTAGAATCCAGACAATCTTTCATTGTCAATCTTCTAACAGCCATTGGTAGGAGGTGCAATGGGCATCAGTCGCCAGCAGCTGACAGCATTGAACAATCATCCCGATGTTGCAGTACAGATCGAAAACGCTGGCCCTGACCAAGAGTATATGGCGACCTTTGACGTCCTTCACCAATTACACTGTGTTGTGAGTATTGTGACTATGTGCGTGTTGAGATATATAGCTGATCATGTCGCTTTTTGTTGTTAGGATCTCCTGCGGAAAGGTATCCACATGGATTACTACAAAGACAAAGATGAGCATTTCGTGAATCAAACAGATGTGCGTATCTTCTTTCACTTAGGTGGGTCTTACAATCAATCTCTTTCGTTTTCGAGCTGCGGAGTACAGCACACAGCTAACAGCTTTCCCAGACCACTGCGTTGATATCCTTCGTCAGACCTTAATGTGCAACGATGACCTCTCCTTGGTGACCTACAACTGGGTGCAAGGCCTGGACATCCCGTACCCAAACTTCAATACATACCATACCTGCAAGAATTGGGACACGTTCTTTGCGTTGAACCAGAAGCTCGATGTTAGTGCCAGGTGGGAAGGCGGTAAGGTCGTTGAGGAATACCCGATACCCAGAAAGCCGGAACATGTCGATGGCATGTGGCCACCTCCATGAAGGTCTTCCCGGATTGCGCTCTATTTGACCACCGGTTCAATCTCAAGATTTGTGCCTATTTTGGAAAATTCTCTACCATTTCTTATTATTATCTGTTGCTTGTATATAGTGAAGTGAGCCTATTTATGCGTCATCACTTGTCATAACAATGCCATATTCTTACACTGAGGAGCAGTTAATGAGACGGAGCATAGTCCATAGTTTCAAGGCACTGTATCCAGCTCTACAAAAGGAACCCAAAATACATACATCCCATAGGTTACTATCAAGTAGACTCCCAAGACGGAAATCTATTCCTACTCCAAAGCCAACCCCGTAGCAATATCCTTCTTCAACCCCTCGATAGCAACTCCCAGAAGCTTCCTCTCATTCTCAGAAACCTCACCAAAGGACAGCGCCTTCGAAGCCCCTGTCTTTCCAATCTCAATCTTAACAGCAAAATAATTCACCCCAAGCTTAGCCGCAATCTCCTCACCACCAGGAACACCAGGAAGATAGACATAGGCTTCCTCGGTAACTGTTTCTCCACCCATGGCTGCCAAAATAGCCTTGACGAAGCGGAATCCCGCATACGCCATGCATGTAGTAGCACTTCCCGCTCCCTGCTTACTCTTCACGATCTCGTCACCGCCGAATTGCACCCCTTCAATTCCATTACATTAGCATCTGCCTCCCGAAGGTAATGAATACTTGTATAGTGGGAAACATACGGTTAATAACAGCCGCCAAAGTTTCCTCATCAAGAGTGACTGGCGGTTGGGCCTGACTGTAAAGCGGCAATATGGTAGCTCCGCTGTGGCCGCCGATGACAGGGACTTTGTAGGCTTTGGGGTCGGTGTTTGTGGCATGTGCGGCGAAAGTAGATGCCCGTACGACGTCTAGAGTAGTGACGCCAAAGAGGCGAGTCGGGTCGAAGACACCTGCTCTTTTGAGAGTCTCGGCGGCGACGGGGACAGTGGAGTTGACGGGGTTGGTGACGACGCAGCAGAATGCCTTGGGGCATGTTGCTGCGACTTCGGTGAAGATTGAGCGGATGATGTGAGCATTTGTCTAATTTTACTTAGTTAGATAATGGTTATTCTGGCGAGAACATCCCAAAGAGCATATGATATTTTGGTTCTGTTGGGTAGTTGCATAGTAGGCCGCTGGTGGAAGTTGCTGGGAGTTATGGCCAGTTATATAATAGTTCCCAATGGTTACTAACTAAAATAAATTATAAGTATTCTGTTATACTATATATAATAATTATATTAGTATTTATATACTACTTTAAAACTATATTCAAGAAAACAACAAAAGATCAACTGTTTGAAGCTTATTTTATAATTATTTATTACTATTAAAAGCCCATTATTTTTCTATCTTTAATTTATTTATAAAAAATTATATTATTATTTTTTTTTTATACTGACTGAATTTTTTACAGGTTATTTATTATTATTTTACTACTAATTTACTGTTATTTTATTTTCTTTTTATATATATTATATTTTTCTTTTTTTTTATTCTTTTACTTTTTCTTTTTTTTATATTACTTTTTTATTTTTTTTCTTTCTTTTTTCTTTTCTTATTTATTTTATTTTATTTTTTTTTATTTTTTTTATTTCTGTTTTTTCTCTCTGTATTAAAGTAAAATAGCTAAAATAATAATAAATTAAACTAGAAATAAATTAAAAGATTTTTATAGATGATGTAAGAAGACAGTATTAATATAAAAAAAATAAATAATAAAAATAATATAAAATTTTTTTTAATAAATAATAATATAGTAGAGATAATTATAACAGAAATAATTATAATATAGAAACTAGTTAAAAAAAATAAAAAAAAATTATAGAAATTATTAAAATTTAATTTTAAAGATAACTAGAGAGACTAGTTATTATTTAATTTAATTAAACTTTATTAACTTAAACTTTGAAATTATATAATAAAAAATTTAATTAATAATTAAAAATAAAAAGCTAGACTTGTCCGGATTTAAGAACTTATAATTAAAAAAAAAATATAAAATATTATTAAATATAGTTATCAGTACATTAATAAAACAGAATAAAATCTTAATAAATATTTTATTTATTTTTTATATAATATAAGATTAGAAAATATATAAAAATTAAAAAAAATATTTTATTAGAAAAATCTTTCCGAGAATATTATAAATATAATAATATAGACTTTAAAGAATATTTTAATATAAATATATAATTTATTATAAATTAATAAATTAAATAGCAGTAAAGCTATTTTCAGAATAATTTTATTAAATAAAAATTTAAAAATATTTTATAAAAAGCTTTTATAGCTGACTCCAGTAATTAAAATAATAAAATTATAATTTATTAAAATATATAAAACTAGAGTATAGTAAGTAATTAAAATAAAAATTAATTCTAAAACTAAGAATAAATTAAATATAAAAAAAATTCTATCAGATAAAGAATTTTTATTATTATTATTTACTACTAATAATAAGTCTTCAGGTTTATTAAAGATATAATAATTATAAATTCTAGTTTAGAAATATAAATTATTAAATAATTAATAAAAACTAATTCTTAAATACTAGTTAAAAATATTTAATTTTAAAGATTTATTTTAAATTTATACCTGCATAAAAACTATTTTATAATTATTAAAGTCTTAAACTATAGTTTAAATAAAGAAGATAATTATAATTATTAAAAGTATTAAGAATAATAAAAATACTAAAATTATTAAAAATATTAAAATTAATAAAAATAATAAAATTATATCAAGAAAACCCAAGCACATGAAGAAAGAGATAAATATTTTAAAAATACTTAATAATTATATATTTAAATTAAGTATATACTAAGCTGTAAAAAATTTATAATAATCTTTTAATAGTAATATAGATTTAAATAATCTGCTTATATAACTGATATTAAAAAATTATAAAAAAATCTTAATATATAAGAAGTAATTAAATATCTAAGAATATTAATTTAATAATTATAAAAAGACCTACAGGAACCTGTATATTAAAAATCTAATAAATTTTTATATAAAAAAAATATTATATAATTAAAAACTAAAATTTTAGTAATTTATATATATTAATTATATTACTAAGATTATATAATTTAGTTTACTGTATAGAATAATCATTACAGATATTATTAATATTAAAAAAATCTGAAAGATTATTATATTTCTTTTATATATAAATATTTTTTTAAAAATATATAGAAGGCTTTTGCAGCTGATATAATATAATAATTAAATAAATTTAAATATAAATTTACTGCAGCTGAGAAAAACAAATCAGATCTTTTAAAAAATTATTTTATAATTATTATTATTTTATTCTATTTTATTAAGCAGTGGATGGATAAGATTATATTAATAATTAAAAAATTTTAAATATTATTTTATTATGGTAATATACACTGCCAGGCTAGAAATTATATTAAAAATAAATTAATAAAAAAGTATAAGATCTTTAAAGATAAGTTAATAAATATATATATTATTATAATAATTTTTTATTAAATATAAAAGACCCGCCACAGCCCCTAAACAGTAAAAATTTAATATATTAATAAGAAAAAGTTATATAATTTAATTAATTTTTATATATTTATAGATTTCCCAGACAATCTAGGGGGATACTTTAAAGTTATTATATTTAATAAAATTTATTTATTATATAATAGAAAATTAGATATTTTATTTATTTATATTTAGTTATATATCAGATTCTATATTCTATTAATAGCTATATTCTTTTATAATAATATATATAATTTTTTAGAATATATAAGACTCTTCTTATTTTTAAATTTTAATATAAAAATAATATTTATTAGTAATTATATACAATAAATTATAAATACTGCTTTAGAAATATAGAATAATTAATTATTTTATAATTAAAAATTTATAATAAAATATATTTTTAATAAAAAAGTATAAGATATTAATATTATTTTATATTAGTTAAAAAAATTATTTTAATATTTTATAATCTAGTATACACAGGGCTCTGTATTACTAATTAAATTAAATAATAAAATTAAAATAGATATTTTTTCTATATTTAAAAAAATATTATATCTGAATTTTAAGCTAGAAAAGTTTATAATATATTAAATTTATAAAATTATAAATTACAGAAATATTTTTATTATTAATTAGAAAAAGCTAAATTATATCTATTAATATATAAATTATTTTTATAAACTGATTCTGGGCTTATCATAATTAGATTTTATTAATATTAAAAATAATTTATTTATTTTTATTATTATAAAATTATTTAGTACTGTCAGGCAGCACAAGTAAATAATTTATATATATTTAAATCTAAAAATAAAGATTATAATAAAAAAGAATTTTATAAAAGATTTCTATATATAAATAAGAAAGTATTATTTTACTAATATCTTATTTAATAATAATAATAATAATATACTATAACTTAATATAGAAGATCTAAAATAGTTTTTATAAAGTATTTTTAAAATATATATTATATTATTAATTATTTATAACCAGGTATTTCTCAAGAAGAAGAAATCTTTTATTTAAATTTATTTTTTTAAAAAAAAATATATATTTTTATTATATTTACTAAGACTGGCTTGGATCATGTAGTTATTTATATTAAATTAATAATTAAAAAAAAATCTATTATTATTAAATTATTTATTAAAAATTTTAATAAATATATGATATTAATCATGAACTATTTAATAAATTTAATTAATTTAAATTTATAAAATCTCTATTATAATCTATATTTATTTTTTTTAATTATTTTAAAAGTTATAAAGAACCAGACTATAAATTAAATATTATATATAAATTAAATTTATATAGTTTTTATATATAAGTATTATATGTCTAAAATCTTTAATATTTATTTAATAAAGAAAAGCATATAGAAAGCCTTATTAAATCTTATTATAATAATATATATTAAACTAGCCCTCACGCTGAATGATTTAAAAAAAAAATTTTTAATTAAAGAATAAATTATATAAAATAAAGAACTGGTAGTATTAAATAAAAATAAAAAATTTTAGAAAAATAATATTATAAATATTAAATTAATAATAGAATAAATAATATATAAGATTATATATAATTTTATAAAAGATGACTGAAGTCTTTATAATTTCTAATTATTAATTATCTTAATTCTACTGATAATAATATAAAGTATTTAATAAAAGACTTTTATAAAATATATTATAAGTATGAAAGTAATTATAGATTATTAATTATTTTAATATTATATTATATATTTTTAATTAAAATATATTAATATAAAATATATATTATAAATATTATCTTGTTTAAACTTACCCTCCAGGTAAAATTAAATATAATTCTTATAAAATAAAAATAAAATTCCAGTTCTTAAAAACAATAATCTTTTAGTAATTAGAAAATTTATATATAGAATAACAGAGAATTTTAATAATAATAGTATAATTAATATTATAGATATAGATAAATAGAATAATCTAGCCAATATTTATATAGATAATAATATTTTAAAATTTATTAAAAATATTATATATACTGGTCTAGAAACAATCAGTATTAGTATAAAATAATATTTTATTAATACAGATAATATGGAAGAAATATATATAAATATAAAAATAAAAATTTTTCTTACTAGTAATCTTCACAAGATATTTAAATAAATATATTAGTAAATAAAAGCTGAATATAATAAAATCAGTAAATTAATATATTTATTAATATAAATATAAATAACTTTAAGAATCTTAAAGAACAGCTGTTTATACTTATTAAAAATAAAATAAATATAAAAAAAAAATTATTAATATTAATTTTCTTATATTCCAGATTAAAAATACAGATATTAAGATTAAAAATATTATAATTAAACCAGGACTTAGAATACAGCTTTAATTTAAAAATTATATTAACTATCTTTATTCTTATATTATATTATATTTAATAAAAGATTTTTTTTTTATATAATTATATCTATTTTATTTTTATAATAATAATAATATTTATTCTGATTATTAGAAATACAGCAGTTATTCTTTCTATAAGAAATAAAATTATAATTATACTGTAAAAAGCTTCCACAAATAACTTATAAATAATTATAAAATAAATAAATTAA